CAACGAGCTTATCTGGCAGGAGAAACAACACAGCGGAGAGCTAACTCCTCCCGGAAGGGCTGGGAGTGGCACCCCTCAGCTCAGGGCTCCCGCGGGGAAGGGACCCACCGTGAGCTTCTTCCTGCAGGCAGCTGAGCTGGTAGGAGCCCGCCAAGATGTTGGCCTGTCGCCGCAAGCTGTCCCCAAACGGGTGCTGCCCTCCCGACAGCACGTAGTAGAAGACGCAGCCGGCTGAGAAGATGTCCACGGCGCACGTCTGCAAAACACGAGGGGAGAGATGGGACCCTCACAGGGTGAAAAAAGCTTTTGCCTCCCCCCTTTTCCATTTGTTGACGTGAACCCTTTGTTGTTTGCTACAGAGCTGCTGGAAAACGCATCGCAGCAGTGTTCCTGCTGCTCCCTGGAGCCAGCAAAGCCCCCATGGCATCAGGTCCTTGGCAGGGAAGGGGCTCCAGGGGCACTGACCGGAGTCAGGACATCAGGGACAGACGGAGGTGCCAGGGCTGCTGGTGTCTCCCCCGCCGTGCCACTGACCTCCGCACGAGGCTATGGGGAGCGCGTTGCCAGCACCAGTATGTGCCCTGCTGGGGACCAGTACAGCAACCGGCCTCCAGCTGGAACAGGATTCCCTCGGCTAAACTGAGGAGCAGAAGCACCCCCTTGGCAGTGAGTCTCAGCCCCCTCTGACCTTCCCACCACAAGGACTGCAGCCAGAGGAGATGCCCTGCGCTGCGCTCCGGGCACTGTCCCGGTGAGGGCAGGAAAGCAGGGAGAGCCACTGCTCAGGGTGCTCCAGGCGAGGAGCTGGGCTGGGTTCGGCTCTCACAGCTCGTGTCTGAATTTCGGCAGCAAGCGGAGAGGCCGATGCCGGCATGGGGGGCTCTGCCACGATGAGCTCAGGGGCACCCGGGGTGAGGGGATGCGTCCGCAGCTCACTGACGGGGTTCTCCTTTGGACCCTCCTGCAGCACCTCCGGCGCGATCCAGCCCTCGGTGCCAGGGATGCCGGAGCGGAGGCTGAAGCTCTGTCGTCCCCCCTGAAGCTTCTTGCAGAGGCCAAAATCAGAGATGACGGCTCGGATCTGGCCGTGGCGATTTGGGACGGAGATGAGGATGTTACAGGGCTTCAGGTCACGATGGACTGAAAGGGAGCAGGCAGTGTCACCTCCCGCAGCAGGGCTGGTGCTGGTGCCGGTGCCAGGAGCAGGGCTCTGCCTGCTGCCCCGCACACTGCCGACCCCAAGAGCTGCTGCCTGAACCCCTCGGCTGAGGCCGGGGTTGGGTCTGCTCGCCGGGCACGGTGCCCGCCTGCCCGCTGCCCGCTTACCGATGCTGAGGGAGTGGAGGTGGGCCAGCCCGGACATGGTCTGGTGCAGGAGGGACACCGGGTCCAGGCTCTGCCGATCAAAGCTGGGGCTTTCCACGTACTGGAACACACAGGAGTAGAAATAGATGAACTGGTTTGCCCCGATTTACTGGGAGAGAGACTTCTCGCAGGGCTGACAGAGGTGGAAGGAGCCGAGCCCACTGGAGGCTGGGTTTGCGCCCAAGGCTTCCCACTTCCAGCTCTTCCAGTCAGCACCTATTCCCCCTGAAACAAACTGCCCTCCCTCGTGTCCTTGGACCTCCAGTCTGAGCAACACCCGTGCTGTACACAGCAACAGAAGGATGCTTCTCCTCCCCCAGCCCCAGTGTGTGCTGGGGAAGGGGCTCAGCAACCCTCGGCCCTGGGGTGCAGTGCCAGGGAGCTGGCTGCCGCACCGAGGGCGCCCGAATGGGAACAGGGAACAACTGTTCCCATCGATCCTGAGGCTCAGGGCTGTGCTGATCCCTCCTGGAGGGGCAAATCGGCAGAACAAGGGCAGAGGCTTGGCTGACACAGCAGCAGTGCTGCTGCTGCCTGCTCTGGCTCTCCAAAGCACCTCCCAACCTGCCCAGGCTGGATCCGGCTGCTGCTCCCTCCCACTGCTGGGAAGCAGGCTCGGAGCAGGGCTGAGGCCAGGCAGGAACCCCAAAAAGGGCTCTGAATGGGGGTCTGACAGCTGCCAACCCTGTCCCCAGGCACACACAGCTCCCGCGGGAGCACTGCAGGACCCCCCTGCCACCACGGATGGAACTCCTGGGGACCGACCTGCACCCACGGGAATAGGGACATGCAGGATGGATCAAGAGACCCCCTGCAGCAGCCCCACATGACCGGCCCCAGGACAGGGGGGCTCACCTCCTGCAGCGTGGCGGAGCAGAGCTCGATGGCGATGTAGTGGAACTGCTTGTCCTTCTCGGTGCAGAAGTAGCGGACGACGTGGGGGTGGTCGTCCGACTCCCGGAGCAGCTGGACCTCGCGATCCACGAGATGGAAACACTCGGGCAGGAGGCGCTTCACGGCCACGTTCCGGCCATCAAACTGTCCCCTGTGCAGAGAGTCGATGCCGGTGTCCCACGAGCCCAGCTCCCCAGATGGGTTTGATGAGGACCACGAGAAGGGGAAGGTGGCAACCCATTCGCAGAAGCCCCTGAATCACCGGCCACCACCCAAGGAAGGAGCTGCCTTGGTGCTGTCCCTGTGGCTCCCAGGAGAACGAGGTACCCCACCCCAGGGTGTCACCCACCTGAAGACAAAGGTTCCTCCAGCTCCGTGGCCCAGCACATCCTTGGGGTTAAAAGAGACTTTCCCAACTACAATCACGTCTGGTTCTGCATCTGCAGAGGAAGATGAGGAGAGCCGTCCTTCAGCCTCCGCGCCTGTACGGAGCACACCCAGCTCTCTAACCACCCGGCTGTTTCTCCCACCCTCCTCTTGCAATGGCTTTTGTAGCCTGTGTTTATCCAGGTCCTGCCTCTCCCCCCACCTCCGTGGGGCTGCAGCCCTCTCATCCGTGGGGC